CATCATCAACATACCCATCATGATCACCATCATCATCGGGACACCATCATCATCATCGATATCAGCAACATCATCATCATTGGGACATCATCATCATCATCATCTCATCATCATCATCATCATCACCGGGACACCATGATCATCACCATCATCATCAGCAACATCACCATTATCAGCATCCTTCCCATCAACATCATCGGGGCACCATGATCATCACCATCACCATCATCACCATCATCACCGTCATCATCATCATCATCATCATCATCATCATCAACGTTATCATCATCGGAACACCGACGGGACACCGACGGGACACCGGCGGGATACCGCGGGCCCCCGGCCGCCCGGAAGGGAGTCATTTGGTCAGGCCGCGCCTCAGCCACACGGGACACCAGCGGGACACCGGCGGGACACCGCGGGCCCCCGGCCGCCCGGAAGGGAGACATTTGGTCCGGCCGCGCCTCAGCCACAGGAGACTTTCTCTCGCCCGCCCACGCAGCTTCGCCTCGCCCGCACGGCACGCACGAACACGAAACCGAAATCGATTTCCCGGTAGGGGGGCTCTCCGTTCCACTTCGATCTCACCCCCTCACCTCCGATGAATATATATATATATATATATGTATATATATATATATATATATATATATGTGTATGTATGCATGCATGCATGCATGCATGCATGCATGTATGTATATATGTATGTATGTATGTATGTATGTATGTATGTATGTATGTATGTATGTACATATGTATGTATGTATGTATGTATGTATGTATGTATGTATGTATGTATATATGTATGTATGTATGTATGTATGTATGTATGTATGTATGTATGTCTGTATGTATGTATGTATGTATGTATGTATGCGTGTGTGTATGCAAGTATGTATGTATGTATGTATGTATGTATGTATGTATGTATGTATGCCTCTTTGCGTCTGAGTACTCTGCGCACGGTCGTGTGCGAGTTGGCAGCCGCTTTTCGCTACTCCGTCTCATGCTGCGGCGCAGCCATGCTGTGGGGACGTGCAGTCAAGGAGGTCGGGGCCAACAAAAATCATTCCCTCCTGACCCATTTTCTGGGGTCTCAACCAGTTCAGACCCTGGCGGCCTCCAGCGCGGGAGGTTATTTTGTCATGGTGTCAGCCGCTGTGGCTCCCAGGGTGGGCGTTTGCTTACAAGTTTACGGTCGATTCGCGTTGTGTCGACCAGCGGCGAGCCTGCCGCTGGCGTTCAACGTTCGACAGACAATGCCGGCGACCCAGAATCGGTCGATATTTTACGATCTGACGTTTCGGAAACGGCCGATCATTCAAGGTTGGACGATTCTCCAGGGTCAATGACCAACGCCGAAGTCGGCACGAAACAGACCTGCCGTATGCGGGAGGATCTCACGGTGGGGGCGTTCGTCCAGGAACGTGCCCAGGAGGCTTCAGACCCTGGAGGGTTTCTTATCTGATGAGGGTGACGGTGACATCCATGGCCAGTTCGCGATTAGAGTTCCACTGGCTTCCAGACCCTGGATTTCTTATCCAATGCTTCCTCATCCAATGCCCCCACCGTATGTCCTGGTGTCAGCCGCTGCGGCTCCGAAGGGGGGGGTGCGTCTGCTGGGAATTGTGGCCGCGCCGTGGCCGGTCGTGCACGCTCTGTACGCCAGGCTCGCGCCGCGCTGATGCGGCGGCGACGCCAGCTCGGGCGTTCAAGCCTGAGCGCCGCCAGTGGCCTCGGCCGATGTTGGAAAGTCGTGGTCGTGCCAGGTTGAACGGCCGCGCCGCGACAGAAACCACTGCCGACGTCTTCGCGACGTGGACCTGCCGTATGAGGGCTCCAGCCTCTCCTTGCCCACTCTCGCGCCTCGACCATCCTCCCGCCACGGTTCGCCATCTCCTTGTTTTGCAGCAGCCTGCGCTCGTGCGCAGACGTGAGATCAAGTCCGCGGCTGCTCCTGTAGAGGGCTTGCGTCTTGGATTCTGGCCTTTGTGCTTAACGCGGACGGGGGGGTCCAAGCATATTCTTTTCTTACACTCGCAGCCTGTGTTCTTTTTTCCGCTCGGGCGGACACGCGGGCTTTTGCTATGATTAAGTTGGGCCTGTCCCTCCACAGGAGGAATCTTCAAAAATAGTCAGATCTAGTCTGAGGACGGTTTTTCGATTATTTATTCGACTATCCTGGATTATCTTTTATGATTTTTTATTCTGTCTCCAAAGTCCGCATGTAGGGGACCATGCCCGACCTGACGCTTGGGCGGACACGCGGGCTTTTGCTGTCCGTTCGCATTGGTGGGCCTGGCTGCCCGCTGCTGAGCTGTCCCTCTGGAGGGGCCGCGGGCTCCGCCCTCTCCCGCGCTGCTCTCGCCATGGTTTCCTCCCCTCGACGGCTCCCGGTGCCCGAGTGTCTGCCCGCGCGCTCCCCTCGGTGTGGAATCTCTGTGCGCGTGAGGCCTCTGCCCTGCCTCCTCCTCCTGCGCCTCCTCCTCCTCTTCGCTGTGCCCACTGCCTCCGTCTCCTCCGCCTCCTCCTTCTCTTCCACCCGTCTTCTTGCCGTGCCCACTGCCCGGCGCGGCCCGCCAGTTTCTCGAGGGCGTTGGTGGCCGCTGGCGCCGCGGACAAAAACAACAGTCTTCTCTCCTCGCCTCGTCTTTCTCGTGGCGCCTGGCCCCTCTGGGCCCAAACGGCGTGTGACATGTGCGACCGAGCGTGTGTCCGAACTCGTGGCCGAATGCGCAGTGTGGCCGATCCTGTGACCGAAGCTGAGCATCCTGTAGGTCTCGGACCCAACATTTCGGTCACGCTCGGGCGCGGTTGGACAATTTCGGGCGCCAGTTTCGGTTACATTCGGGCAGGTTTTCGGGCACAGCTTAGGAAATGCGAAATGCGGCCCCCTGATGGAGTCAGCGGCGAGCGAGGGTGAAAGTTAGAAGGAGAAGGCCTTCTCAGAGGGCGGCGGGACTCTTCTCGGGCCCTCGCGCCTTCTGAGAAAACTTCCGTGTCCTCGCGGAAGGCCTAAGAAATTTCTCGGAAGGCCCAGGGGCCTCCGAGCCTTCTGAGAAGGCCTTCTCCTTCTCACTTCCCCCTTGGTCACCGAGCGCGTTCCGCCTCTCGCAACGTGCCTACTTGCAAGCGTCCGCAAAAAACATGTCTTCCCATACGCAATGGGTCGTAGGATCCAGGCCACTTGCGAGTAGTTACTTTGCGAGTAGTGGCACGCGCTGGTCTAGCTGGGCTCGCCTTCGAATGGAGACACGGCTTCGTTTAAGTCGGGCATTTCCTTTTACAGGAGGCAAACTTCAAAAACAGTAACAACAGTAGCCCGGGGATAATTCCTGAGAATTTTCGACTATTCTAGAGTATTTGTTGAAACTATCTTATTTCTGATTCGTCCAGAATCCGCCTACAGGAGGACACGCCCGACCTAACGCTATGTGGTCTTTTTTCCACTGTTGCCCTTCCCTTGCCGGCCACTGTCGCCCCTCGTCGCCTCCAGGAAGAGGGGGGTGGTGCAGGGGTGCGAAGCTCGCGCTCGGGCGAGTCCCCCCCCAACTGAGCCTGCAGTGGCCCGAGCACAGTGGACGACGATCAATGGAGAGGAAGCATGTTGCCAACTAATTTCCGGATGTCTAAAACATATTTTACACATGTCTCAAACATGTAAAGCACATGTTTCAAACTCCTGTAGAACATTTTGCCGACATTTTAAACACATGCCTGATTCAATGATAGGACTATTAGGGTGTCCATTGTCATGGCATCCGCAAGCGGAGCACACAGGGCGTTCCGGCAAGGGCCTCGCCTTCCGAGGCTCGAGGGAGTTGTCATCTCTTCCTCGGCGGAAGGCTGCGGAAAGGGGGGGAGGGGGCAGGGGAGCGAAGTGCGCGCTCGGGCGAGTCCCCCCCGACTGGGCGTGCAATGGCCCGAGCACACAGGGCGTTGCTGCAAGGGCCTCGCCTTCCGAGGGTCGAAGGAGCTGTCATCTCTTCCTCGGCGGAAGGTGGCGGAAGGGCGACGGAAAGGCGGCGGAAGTAAAACGAGGGCGGCTCCGCTGGCGGAAACCGGCGGAAGGCCAGTGGAAGCCGACGGAGGTAAAACATGCACCCCCAAGAGATGGCACATTTTTTGGGCTCAGGATTACTGGAAGCCGCTAAGTTGTGCGAGAGAGGATCGAGGCTTGTCTTCCGGTCTCGGAGCTTACGGTGGGGGCGTTCGTTAAGGAATGTGCCGCAGGAGGCTTTAGACCCTGTTATCTTACGAGGGCGGTGGTGATGTCCATAGCTGCTCCACGATTGGTTTTCCACCGGCTGCCAGACCCTGGATTTCTTGTCCAACGGGTCCTGATCCAATACCCTCACCGTGCTCACCAGTTGCGTGTAGAGTTTAGCCCTAGGGCCTGCTCAGCTCGAAGCTCGAGTCTAACCGACTACGGGAGTCTGCAGCAGCAGCACGATGCCTGGGGTTGCGAGGTGGCCGCGCCCACTCTTTTGTTACATGTTCGTTTTATAAAAATTTTCCTGAGGCCTCCAAATGGATCTGTTTGCCTCGGGTTCGAAGCTAGTTCGACTCTAGGTCGACTCTAGCTCGACTCAAGTTCGATTCAACGCGACGGATGTCGGATGCAACATCGACACACGAGTGGAGCGAGTGTTTCCAGGAAGGTCCCCAGGCCGACTTGGGGTGGGGTGGATATCATGGCTGGGCTCCTCCTCCTCCTCCTCCTCCTCCTCCTCCTCCTCCTCCTCCTCTGGGGTCATGGTATCCCCCAGGATTTCGTGGCCTCCTCCTCTTATTTCCATACGTCTTCTGGTCCCCACCCCTCGTCTGCGCACGTGCCTCGGACCATGATCTGCAGGCTTCCCTCTGCGACGCCCCCCCCCCCTCTCGGACGCCTCCCTCTCGGACGCCCCCCAGAGAGGCAGGAGCCTGCGAGGCTGCCGTGCCCACTGTCTGGGGCACCCGAGCTGCTTGGCGGGCAGTAATGGGGCCTCCCTGCCGAGGCTCTGGAGAGATTCCTGGCGGACGCGGAGCAGAGTCGCCGGCCACTGTGGCTGCAGAGCGCCGAGGACATTTTTGTTTAGAGCGGTAGCGTGGCAGCAACAAGGGTAGGGGAAGTTCCAAGGAGGCCCTCCTGGCACTTCCCTGCCGAGGGTTGCTTCCTGGCTTTCTTCTCTGACTCCCTGGCGCGATTCCTGTCCGCGCTCCCAGTCTTCCTTCTCCTCCTCCCTTTCCCCTCCCTGTCTTTTCTCTCTCTCTCTCTCTGTCTCCTCTCTTCTCTCCTCCCACATCCCCATCTACCCTCTGCCCGTATTCCTCGAGCCTGTCCTGCTTGACTGCGAAGGCGGTGGCCTGGTTCATGGCTGGGGTCCCAGAATGGATTTTGAAAATAGGCCATAGTAATCAGGGTTGGGCCATCTCGGAGCTCCACATGGGAATCGGCAACGCCAGGAGATTCCCGCGTGGGCCACCTGCTGTCCAGCCCCGAAATGACTCCGTGACAGTGTTTGTATTTGCTCGCCTCCAATGCCAATGCACCGCCTGTCTTCTATCTCTCCGTGTAGTTTCTCCTCACCTCCAGAACTCTTGTCTTCCCTGTTCAGTCCTCCCAGGTTGAGACATGCCAGAATTAGAGAAACAGTCTCGACCTCCTACGACAATACCGCTTCGCTAAAACTCTCGACACAGCAGAAAGGGATGAACCTCGTCGATGGACTGCCTTATATATATATATATATATATATATACAGCTTTCCGCTCGAACATGGGGTCTTTCATACCCACGCATGGGCCTACTTGCTCGGGAGTGGTTCCCCATCTTCCGTTTTGGGTTGCATGCGCAGACGAACCAGAGGAACCGCGAGCTGTAGCTCCGCGTGCTGGAGCTTGCGGAGACCACGAATGGGGCCTCCGTTTGCTGCAGCTTCCGGGGAGGCGCATTTGCTGTGGGCCTACTTGCTCTGGAGTGGCTCCCCATCTTTCGTTCTGGGCTGAATGCGCAGACGAGCCAGAGGAACCGCGAGCTGCAGCTCCGCGTGCTGGAGCTTGCGGAGACCACGTACGGGGCTCCCGTTTGCTGCAGCTCCCGGGGAGGCGCACATGCGGGAGACACCCGGCTCCGGGTGAGCTCTCCCGCACTTGTGCGCCTCCACTGCCGCAGTGGCAAGCGCTGGTCCCCAGCGTGGGCGGATCCCTCCCGACGTATCCCCGCGCCAACGGGAAGCAGGGAGGTCGTGCACGTACGCCGGTTGTCGGCGTGCAGGTCGTCGGCGGCGGCCCCTGAACCATGTACGGGGTCTTGAGCGCGGTCCCCTGTCTGCCCGGGAGAGCCCGCGCCAGAGCAGCGGTGGTGGGAGTGCCGTCGACAGAAGGGGGCGCTTGTGTCCTCCTCGTGAAGAGCGAGGAGAGAGGGGGTGAGGGAGTGAGAGGAGGGAAGGAAGAGTCGGATAGGGGAGAGGGACGGAGAGCTTAGATGGCGGATGGCAGGCAGGGGAGGGAAGGAGGGAGAAGAAGGCGAGGAGATGGGAGGGGGTATGGGAGGTAGGATGGCTCAATGTTCAGCGGAGAAGTTGGATGCCACTTTTCGATCGCTGCGAGTTCAAATGCAGGAGCGTCCAGGAGCCTCTGAGAAGCTCCTGCAGCAGCGCAGATCCTCCAGAAATGTCAAGTAATTTTTGTTTTTTTTCGAACGCAGTCGAAAATCTATCAATGCCGACGACGATGTTAATTTAGACATCTGGCGCCGCTCCATTTTTTTCGATGCGGGGGCCCCAGAGGTCCGGACCACTTTCACAGGGCCGGTTTTTCGTCCTCAGTCGTTTTTTGACGGTCCCGAGGCCTGGCGAGGGCCCCAGGGCGACGAGGATTTCCTCCGCGCAGGACGACCAGTGGGTGCCCTGGGAGGGCCTGGTGGAGCCCTCGCTGCGCCGGCTCCGCGGGCGCGCACCAGGGCTGCGCCACCGCACCGTGCGAG